TTTAACATCTGTGAACTTCAACTCCCACAATTTTGAGAGTTGAAGTTCACAAATCTTAAATTTGTCAAGATTGAGAAACATTAGACTAGAGGAACATTTAACCTCCAATTATCCAATATCCTTTTCTGATTGCTCAGAGCCTACCCAGATGCCATTTATTTAAATCTATATGAGAAACCTGAGTTTGTTGATACTCTCCAGTTTCCTTTTGCCATTTTAAGGTTCGTTTATCCCGTCTGGAGAGGATTTTTTTTTTTTTTGCCTTTATTACTTTGAAAAGACTTTCAGACAGTCTGTAAAGCCTTGGTGACAGGGTTGTTTTTCTCCACTATTAAGCTGCTAGGATACAAAGTCACCGTCCTTGAGCTGGCAGAGAAACTGTATTAATTTGAAAATTATGGTAACTTGATCCATATTCTGCCTCTGTTGTTTCTGTTCATGGTCATATGACCTTGCCTCTGGTATAACGTGGCAAAACATCACAGATTTTACACATTTTAAGACTATGGGCAGTCCTCGACTTATAAACATTCGTTTAGTGACTGTTGGAAGTTACAACAGCACTAAAAAAGTGACTTATGACTGGCTTCCACACTTAAAACTGTTGCAGCAATCACATCACCGTGTGATCAAAATTTGGGCACTTGGCAATCAGCGTGGCATTGTATTTACCAAAGCGGTTGCAGCCTCCCGGATCATATAATCACCATTTGTAACCTTCCCAACCGGCTTTTGACAAGCAAAGTCAGTGGGAGAAGCCAGATTCGCTAAACAAACACACAATTCACAATTGCAGTGATTTGCTTAACAACTAGCAAAAAGGGTCATAAAATGAGGTGCAACTTTCTTAACAACTGCCTGGCTTAGCAATGGAAATTTTGGGCTTACTTGTGATTGTAAGAACTCCCTGTACTTTTGGATGCTCCTTGTGATAAGAGGGAAGGAGTACTTTAGGAGCAGCTAAGAGTAACTTAAACTTGCTTTAGGTGTGCTGCGGCGTTCATGGAATCAACAGAAACAAGATGTAGGACAAATTTGTGCAATGCATAGTTAGTTGTTAGTGAGGAAAATAACCCATCATATCTCATGATTTGTGAAGCTTGTTCAGGTACCTTTGATGAGGTCTTTTTCTTGAAAGTTTGAATTTACATGCTGGGTTGACCTCTTAAAAAAAGAATCTAGAAAAACATCTGCAGAAATTGTATTGGGTTACTTCTAGGAAGGCCCAATCTTTCTATATGTTTACTTCTTTATTTCATTATATTTTCCAGAATGTACCTGTAGTGGTCTTTACATCAACCAGCCTACAATATCTTGTTCTTTCAAAAAAGAAGAATTACATTGGATAGCCCTAATTCTCATAATTGCTAAATCTAAGAACTAATTGCATATTTTCATTAATAGTTCCTTGTTGAAATGAGTTTGAGTAGCAATGGAACTGGGTTTCTATCAAAATGAACGGCATGTTATTTTCTTAAATGTCCTGGAGAAAAATCTCTCGATTTTCAAGAGATTTATTTCTGAAACCAATAAGAGTGAAGATACATGGGGAAAATAAAGATATGTGATTGCTGCCTTGCTTTGTGAAAGCAGAGAGAAACCTAGTGCTGCTATTTGTACCTCATGTCCAAACTTCCCATTTTTCTACTCTTTTCATGCAGAGTAAATGTTTCCATTGCATTTCGGAGAAGCATGACTATCTCAGTATTGTCCGCCATGATAAGAACTGTACAGGTAGTCCTTGATTTACAACCACAACAGGGAATGGAATAGTCATCATTAAGTGGTGCAGTTATTAAGTGAGGCATCGCGTGACCACACCCAATTTTATGACCTTTTTCGCCATGGTGGTTATGACTATGACTTACGATCTCCTGCTGGCTTTCCCATTGACTCTGCTTCTTGGAAGCCCCCTGGGGAGGTCATAAATGGGGATCACAAGACTGTGCGATGCTTCAATGGCCATAAGTACGAGCTGGTTGCCAAGTGCTTGGATCACAATCATGTAACTGTGATGGTGTGAGGAGTGAGCGGCTTTTTTCAGCACCATTGTAACTTTGAATGGTCACTAAGTAAATGGTTGTTAAGTGAGGAATACCTGTATGGCTTAAATCCATCCTGGTCTGTTGATAATGCTTCAGAAAGGCTTTGTTTAATTCAAGTTTACTTGGCTCAAACATGACATGTTTTTCTTTTTCTTTTAATCTGTTCTCATTCTATCTGATGAAAGTTCTAAATGTTCCTTCAATGGGAAATAGATTTTCAGATTAATTGTCCTGAGTGGAGTATCATACTCGTTCTCTTTTTTTATTATTATTTTTGGTCACAGGATGAATTTTAATATCTTTTCTTTCAATGCTCAGTCTGGAACTTCTGGATTATTACACATCAGTTAAATCCCAATGTAATATAGCAGGAGGTAACACCTCTCTTTATGTTGTTTCAATACTTTTGCTACTATCCCAGCTAAAATTTTGCTCATCAGGAATTATTGCACAGAATTGGAAGGGACTTTGGAGGTCTTCTAGTCCAATCCCAAAGCAGGTTTCCTCATACCACCCCAGACAAATGGCTGTCCAACCTTGATTAGAACCTGCAGTGATGGATCACCATGACTCTAGAGCAGTGGCCATCAACCTGTGCTCTGCGGAACCCTAGGGGCCCACGAGGTCATCACAGGGGGTCCACGTAGGCTTGAAGAAAAGTTATGATTTAAATCTTGAGTTAAATCTTGGTGGGTCCGTGGCCATGGTCTGTGGCTGCAAAAGGTATTTAAAGGGGCTCCATGGTGAAAAGGTTGAGAATCACTGAGATATACTGTTCCATTGCTTCCATTCAATTTCTCTTCCCATATATTTGATGGAGAATTTTGAAAGCTCATTACAAAGCCCTAGTTTTGAGAACCGGAATACATCTAAGAATTTGCACTCAAACCTGTGCAGCTTTATTTCTTCATTTTAGTAGTGATGATTGAGATGCTGTGGTCAGCACCGTGCCAGATGATATACGGTACAAAGATTGCATTCCCGCCGTGCATTTAACCAGGTCTACTAAAGACCTGATGGCTGCATTTGGACATTAAGCTCATTTTAACCTTGGTTTGCTCTTTCACAACTTGGTGCCTTATGCAAACCCATCTTATCTGATGGTTCATTGTAATCCATAAACCCAGAAGAAAAAGGGTTAATTCAGTAACCAGGTTAAGCAAATTGGCAAACAAACCTCTGAAAAGGATGCTAAAGAAAAGATACATCCCACTGCTTCATCTCTGGTTTTGCATAAATTAGCTGCTAGCTGATAAGATTGGCAAGGTTTAAGAGGGAAAGTGCCTGGAACAAGAAGAAAACAGGTCATAAATTAAAGAATAGGCAGGAAATATTTATTTATTTATTGCTGTACATAGCACAACTTCACCATAGATGAAAGATGCTAATTTGGGACGGAAACTCCATTGTTAAGTGACATCGTCATAAGTCAAAAAAACATGTGACTGCTCTACTTAGTGATGACAGTTGCCATCATTAAGCAAGGACTGCATGGGTTTTCTATTATAGACCTCATGAGAAAATAAGCATGAGTACCCACTTGTAACTACCACTCATTCAGCACAGAACAAGTGTCATTAAACAAGGACCACCTCCTTTATTGCTTTGTTGATTTGAGGAGGAGGATATTGCTGGGAATGCCTTTCTCTTTGTACCCACATACCTCTTTTTTTGCCCCCACATACCTCCTCCTTGCACTCCTGTGCAAAGTACAGTATAGGTAGTTATTAATTGTAACAGGCAAGATACTATATCCATTGTATCTGTTAGTTATAGCTCCATTCTCTTTAGCTTGCTTTTTTGTGAATTATTTAATAAGTCAGACACACAGTAAGGTTAAATTAAAGCCAGTATTTTTCTCTGTTTGTCTTTTTCTTGTGTCTTTTAGTTGCCATCCTTAGACCAAAAAGCACTTGCTACTCTGCAATGCCTTGGTTGGTATCCCCAAATGTTACAGTTGCTTTAAAGGCCATGGAAATTAGAAAAGGCTAAGCTGGCTCTCTTTGCAGCACAAGAGGAAAGTTGTGCATTCCTCCAAGAGGCAACCTTTCCTCCCATTTGTTTTTCCAGTAGAGCAGGTGTCAATTCATATATTGTGCAGGTGATGGCAGGCATGTGCTATTTCAGGCCTATATTCAACAGAACTCATAGGCAATGCTCACGAAGCTTTGTTGCTATGCTACAGCAGTGACAATAGGGTCCAGGTTGCATTCTTGTGTTAATCCACTTAAAGTATTCATCCAATAAAGAAACAAAGCAAATAAAAAACAGTTGCAAATGTGTTTACTGTCAACACCTTTCTGAGTTAAAATTAATTCTTCATTGGGGATATTTGTTTCAGAGACAGCCCTACTGCAGCATCCATTATTTTACATAATACCTGCTTTTTATTTATTTCTTATGTGACTGGCTTATGAGAAGATTTCATACATTTCCTAAATTAGTTTGCATCTTTGCATCTCAGCTCAACTGCAAGACAAAGTAAGTTTAGTGTCAAACGTAGCACTAAAAATCTGAGGTCAAAGCCATACATCTAGAAGTGAAGCAGTATTTTGTTTGCCAGTGCTTGAATGAGAAAAATGAGTGTTAATATTGTCCAAACAATGGCAGGTCTAATAGCATGAAGGAAATTAGTAAAACATGCGGCAAATTTAGAAAGGCCCAACATGGCATAAGCTGTGGTGAGCACTTGTCAGGTACAAGAGGTCACCTAAAGTTGTAAATAGAAGTTGTGTGATGAAGACTTGATTTTAATGTTGAGTTTTCTTTACCAAGTTTTAGTAGGGTGATTGACACCATAAAGGTTAGGCAGATTCTGATACCATCCCAACCAAAATACTTCATCTGAATGAAGAGAGGGGAGCTATGTGTCTTTCTGTTGTTACCTATTCATTGTATCTGTTCTAATTTGTGTATGTGTGTGGTTTTGCTTTTTGTTTTCCCTGGGCAGACCTTACTCTCTGAATTAGGTGCTTGACTGAAGCTGATAGAGAATGGAAACATTTCCTTGGCAATGTCTCTGGGAAAACTCCTCCGTCGTGCCTCTTCCAAAGCATCTGATCTCCTGACCTTAAATGCCAGCAGCAGCTGTGGTGGTTCGTCTTCCATCTTGGATGGAGAGATTATCTATTCCAAGAACAATGTTTGTGTCCACCCCCCTGAGATGCTGCAAGGTGTTGTGGAACATCATCCAGGTGAGGACGGCTAGCAAACATCAAGAAGTCTCTTTAGGACTATGTGTGTAGCAGAATCTCTGAAGCCCTCTTCAGGCATCTAATGCTTGTAAGTGTAGAGGTAACTGGAGCATGCATTTCAGTTCTGCCCTGCTCCTCTCTGACTTCTCTTTGTTATCAGCAACATTCAAGACGGGTGTTAATGTATAAGACTAAATACAGTTGCCATTCTCTTGGGGATTGGAGTTCTGTACCTAGGTCAGTAGGGTTGCAACCAGTGGTTGGATTCAGCCAGTTCACACCAGTTCGGCAGAACCGGTACTAATTTTTTGTTGCCCAGGCCCAGAATGGACTTCCGGAAGCAGCACCCACGCAGAGAACCGGTTGTTCACATATTTGAATCCCACCTCCTTTTCAAGCCTTCCCTGTCAACGTGGACCATTAGGAATGAACTGTAACGTCCCTCCCCTCCATACTTACTTAAAATGCTTGAAGAGAGCTTCAGCTATTTACTTAACTTTCCCTTACTACCTATTTCATCTCTCGCCCTGTATACCTCCAGCTGGTATTGCCTTGTTTATGGATCCAGGGGGAGTGGCTAAATCTTGCCAGCAAGATAGTGTGTCTCAGCTATTCCTTGTCTGACTTTCCTAGTTCAGTGTAAAATATTTCCTTTCCTTTGTGTTTTTCTAGCTTGAGTATGAGGTGGCATATGCTATATTAGAACTTCTAAAACAGGAACCTCATTTTAGGATTAAAGTATATTAAGAAGATCCAGAATTAGATTTTTGTAATGTTTGTTTTGCTGTCATAAGCTTTAACACAAAGAAGAATCTTTTCAGCCAACAAGCATCATTATATGATTTTGCAAATATCAGAAAAATACAAATGAATTTTTTATTTATTTTTATTCATTTATATATCATATTTACGAACCAACCATGTCCCTCACAGAAGGACTCTGGATGGTGTACAATAAAATGTATACCTGTATAATACCCATTCTGCTGTTCACTTTGCAATATTATGCAAACTGAAGGGGAGAAAAACAAAACATTATTTTTATAATTAAAAAAAATACATTTAATTAAATGTTTTTAATTAAGTAAAAAAGTAAGGCAGGACTTGAACTCACAGTCTCTTGTATTCTAACCCAGTGCATTTATGGCATTTAGTATTCACCCAATTTGTTTCCAGGTCAGTGGCTGGTTTATAGCAGGCATATAAATTCAGAGCATGATGACTATTCCTATTGCATACAGTTAATGACGCTGTGCCTACAGCAGTAGAAGCCTCTACTATAATGACTAATTTGATTTATCAAAAGTCTTGTATTAGTAAAAATGTAAGTTAATGTTTTATATTGGTTCCCCAATCACTTGTGTGTAGAACCTAGGTAGAATTTGAAACAAATTCATATTTTCATATATTCTTTTGAATATGACATACAAGTAGTTCTCGAGTTACGAGTTGGTTGAGCTTAGTGACGGTTAGAAGCTATGATGGCACTGAATGAAAGGACTTGTGAACAGTCCTCAAAGTATTTATTTATTTGATTGATTGATTGATTTCTATAGCCACCCATCTCAACAAAGTTCTGGCTACTGCAATGCTCCTGTGAACAAAATTCAGACACTTGGCAGCCAGCTCACACCTGTGACCGATTGTAGCATCCTGCACAGGATCATCATTAGTGACCTTCTTTGCCAGCTTCATACAAGCAAAATTAATAGAAAAGCCAGCAGAGAAGGTTGCAAATCAGTTGGATAAGTCTTCCCACAGCCTCGTTGCCCTGAGCGTGTGCATATACACCCCACATCCTCTTTTCCTGGCCTTGCTGCTGTCGCCCACATGCATCCCTGCCATCTTTCCCCGCTTCCCTGCATCCACACATATCCACCCCACATCCTCTTTGCCCAGCTTTCTATATTTGCACACCTGCACATACCCTGCACCTTCTTTCCCTGGCCTACCTACTCTCACACACATGTACCCCACATCTCCTTCCCCCAGCTTCCCTGTGCTTGCACAGACACACATTGTGGCCTTTTCCCCTAGTCTCCCTGTGCTTGCACATATGCATGTACCTCACCCCCTCTTTCCCAGGCCTCCCTTTGCCTTCTTTCCCTGCCTTCCTGAGTTCATGGCGCACTGCATCAGCCCACAACATGAGCATGAACTGTGCCAGACCGCCCAGGGCCTCTCTCCCTTGTGGCAACCTCCACTCCCATGGAAGCCCTGTGCTCCTGACTGGGGACACCCTCCACTTCCTGATTAATGACCCATATGTCTTGGGACAAGTTGGATTGCCTGGATTCTCATTGCTAAGTGATACAATCACATGACTGTTGCATTTTATGACCATATCACTTAGCAGCGGCAATCCTGGTCCCAATTGCCATTGTAATTTGAGGACTCTCTGTGTTTCTTTTGTTTGGATTTTGATTACCTTTATAGCACTTGGCTTAGTTTCAGAGAAATGCAGGCTGCTTTTTGTGTTCAGAGGCCATTCTTTTATTATTATTAATAATAATCAGTTTCTGAGTGTTGCAAGACAGGACGTCAACAGAAGCTGACATTTTGGCCTTCTCTGGCATAGGCAGCTACAAAGTGGGCAAGTGATGAAACTTGCATTGCAATTCAGATTGCCTTTGACAGCTCATCAAGGAAGACCAGACCAAAAAAATCAATAATTATATAGGTCAGGGGTATTTTTATTGTAACAGCTCTAATAACAGGAGTTTGCAGATCAGAATGTGCTCCCCCTCCTTCTCTTTCTGTGAACTAAAGAGGGGCTGGTTTTCTCCGGTTATTTCCTTGGCCTGGGCTCAAGCCCTGCTTATCTGGCTGTTGCCTTGGTAGCAGGTCTCTCTACTGGCCATTCTCTGTGCTCTCTATAGACTTTTGTATCCTTGCAAGTGAAATGATGACATAAATATGAAAGGGGCAGAGGTTGGATCCTAACAGCAGAGTCCACATTTCACTTTGAAGTCATTGTGGTTAAGTGCCTAAACTTTTGGGATAGATGGCATTTTAAGAAAAACATTAGGGTGTATGGCAGCTTAATAACATTTATTTTAATTCTTACTTTCTTTTTAAAAATCCCAAAAAAGAATATTACAGGTAATCCTCAACTTACAACCACAACTGAGCCCGAAATTTCTGTTGCTAAGCAAGACATTTGTTAAGTGAGTTTTGCCCCATTTTACAACCTTTCTTGCCACAGTTGTTAAGTGGATTTGGGTTCCCCATTGACATTGCTTGTCAGAAGGTCGCAAAAGGTGATCACATGACCCCAGGACACTGCAATTGTTATAAATACGAGTCGGTTGACAGGCATCTGAATTTTGATCACATGATCATGGGGATGCTGCAATGGTCATAAGTGTGAAAAACCATCATAGGTCACTTTTTTCAGGGTTGTTGTAACTTGGAACGGTCACAAAATAAATGCTTGTAAGTCTATTTATCAGAAAGAAAACTGAAAGATAGTATGGATATTTTAATAAGAAAATTGGAAGCAAGAAATTATTTTATATTTCCCAGATATTTTGTGTACAGGGGATTTCAAGGAAAAGACTCTCAACCTCTGTGGAGCAATAGGTCAGCACTCGGCATGAGAATGAGGGAGTCTTCAGAAATGAAACAGTTAGGAAATGGGGTGGAACAGTTCCATTGCAGCCATTGCAGCCATTAGAACAGCTTGGGAAAGCATGCAGTGTCATCCTTATTCACCACAATATCAGCTACTTTCATTGATTTTAACAAGACTGCTGTGATTTTTCATCTTACAGAAGAAACGTGTCCCTTGTTTTTGACAAGGCTAATTTTGCAGCTAATGAACAGATAGGGAAAAAAATCGATAAAAATTCTAGCGATATGTATACAGGAGTTGTGAATGTATGCATGGTATTTGCTTCCTAAATACCTAGGTTGCACTTGACCGCAAAGGAGTTGCTCAAAGTAGCCAACAGCATAAAAAAAAGCATTAAGATTAAAAGAATAAAGAAAAGATGTGTACAACAATTTAAAGCAACAGCAGAAACAACAGTAGAAAGAATCAAGACTAATAACCTCATACCGAACTCCAACTGGGTTGTTCTGTGTGTTTATTTGGATAATAGGAAGCACATCATGAGGAATGAGTCAGTTAAGGTAGCATTGAGAAGAGGCCAGTCACTTGCTAGAAATTAAAGGAATAGCTGTGTTTCCACATCGTGGGAAGTCCAGAAAGCTGAGGGTTGGCTATAAGTCTAAGTCCCTGTCTTCTTTTGCAGGCTACTTGTGCTTGTACATGGAGAAGGATGAGCTGCTTGGAACCACGCTTATCCTGGCCTGGGTCCCCAACTCCCGTATTCAGAGGCAGGATGAAGAAGCTCTCCGTTACATCACGCCCGAGAGCTCCCCTGTCCGCAAGGCTCCCCGCAAGCGCTTGGCTGTGTGAGTCCCAAAACCGTAGGGATACGTCCGAAGAAGACAACTTGTCTTCGTTCGACTCTGGGGTTTCCTACACCTCCTGTAAAACTGACACAGTGTCGACCACTCCCTACACCGAGTACAGTCGGGGGGAAGTCTTCTTCCCCTGTTTAACAGGGTGTCGACAAGTCGGTGTACGTTGTAGGTGTCGAGGCTTCAGCCTGCTCACAGTGACTCAGGAATTTTATCGACAATCAGTTCTCAGGATGAACAGAACCGATTAGAGGAGTCCGTAGAGGAAGGGCTGGAGAGCCATTTGGAGACAGGAGAAGATGAAGGCTCTTTGGAGTTGTCTGCCGATGATGTTAGCAAAGATAGCACGTTTGACTCGGATTCAGATGCCTTCTCTTCTCCATTCTGCCTCTCACCCATAAGCGAAGCACTTGTGGAAAACGTTAGCTCTATGTTCCTGGTTAATGAAAACCGGTGAGTTGATGTTCCTGTGCTAATTGAACAAAGTCCAGTTCAAAACAAAATGGGCAACACCCATAAATGTAGTCACCCAATTCTAGAATCATCTGCTCTCTGTTATTAGCAGGGATGGCTCAGCGGTTAAAGACATTGAGCTTGTTGGCTGGAAAGCTGACAGCCCAGGTTCAAGACTGAGCACCACGCAATAGGGTGAGCTCCCGTCCCTGCCCCACCTAGCTCTTGCCCACCTAGCAGTTTGAAAGCATGCAAATGTGAGTAGATTGGGCACCACTTTGGTAGGAAAGTAGCGGCATTTCATGCGCCTTTGACATATAGCCATGCTGGCCACATGACTATAGAAAATGTCTTTGGACAATGCTGGCTACCTTAGAATCAGACATGACTGAACAGGGGAAAATTTTACCTCATGTTCAGAGAGGCATTAACATTAGCTTTCATTAGAGCAAATAGAGTGTGTTTACTCAGATGTAAATTCTATTGAGCTCATTAAAATTTACTCCATGAAAGGATTATAAGATTGTCGTGGAAATCTGTCTTAAGAATTCTACAGAGACATCAAAGCACTGAATCAATTTGTCATTCAACTTAGTGATTCCTTTAATGCAGTAGATAGAAGATCAAATACTGTCATTTGTGCTGTCAATTTATTTGTTTTGAAATGCCCATTTCAGTGAACATATAGTTCCAGATATTGGCCATACTTCTTGTCTGAAGATGCTCTGCTTATTATTTAAATATGTGTTTTTCATACATTTTCATAGCAAATATACCTAACTGGTAAAAAAGCTATTTAGAAGAGCTATAAAGACTTTTGGCAAGGGAAAGTGAGACCTTCTTGCCTCATCATGCTTGCCATCTTTTTATCTTTCTCCTTTAATGTGAGAATTGTTGAGTGTGAAGTGGCATACAAATTTAATAAATTGTTATTATTTACACAAAAATGTGAAATCACAGCTGCCAGTTCTTTAGCTGGTGTAGGCATCAAGTTCTTCCTAAGAACCTAGAATGTTGTAATATATCAGTGTTGGTATATCTGTGGATTTTTGCATTGTGGCCTTCTGTAATTGACAGATAGAATTTTAATTAATGCACAGATTTTCTACGTGCTGTCCAAGATCTTTTGGTATGGCACCATGTATGCCAATAATTGGGACTATCAAGCTGGTTTTTGCCATAATCTTTCCATTTCGGTTTTCAGGGCTTGATACTTTCTGATCTTCTCCAATTCTTTATTTTCTTGTCTATTTCCTGCTATTGCCATATCAATTATCCATACTTCCTTCTTTTCAACTACAGTTAAATCTGGTGTGTTATGAGCAAAGTCCTTATGTTTGGAAATTCCAAGCAGTTTTAACCTACTCATTTTCAGCTATTTTTTCAACTCCATGTTCCCACCAATTTTTCATTATTGGCACATGATAATTTTTACAGATGTTCCAGTGAAGCATTTTGGTGACTGTTATGTCATTGTTTGTAGTCAGTTTGTGTGATCTTTTTGCATGAACTGAGCATATGATCTATTGTTTCTTCTGCCTCTTTGCACAATTTGCACTTTGAATCATTTGACGATTTTTCAATTCTGACCTTGATTGCATTAGTTTGAATAACTTGCTTTTCAGCAGCCAAAATCAACCCTTCAGTTTCTTTTTCAGTGTTCCAGTTGTAAGCTATTGATCCACCTTCCCCTTGATTTTTTGTAGAAATTAACAATGTACAGAGAGTCCTCAATTTGTGACTGATTGTTTAATGACTGTTTGAAAGTACAGTTGCCTTGGAAAGGGCGCTTTATGGCCCATAAAGCACTTCAGGTTGTTGTAAAAAGTTGAGCTGCCCCTCCCATCACGTGATTGTGATCTGGTTGCTTGGCAACCTGTCCACGCTTAAGAAGCAGTGATCTTCCCCAGAAACTCATGGAGAATCCGGTAGAGAAAATTGTAAGCTGCTGCTATCTGTCAAAGAGCTGAGATTCCCTCCTGACAGGCACCTTTTTCAAAGCAAAATGGCTCCCTGTCAAAAGGGAATCTCAACTGTGTGTGGAGCTGTGATTCGCCGCTCCCCCATCCCACAAGCTGCCATTTGAGGGTGAAAGGCCTGCCTACAGAAGACAAGGGGACTTCTCCAGCAGGTTTCAGAAAGGAAAAACTGAACCCATTTCTGCAGCCCCCTCATGCATGGAAAGGACAGGAATTCTGAAGGGCTTCAAATCCTGAAGATCCCAGCTCTGTTCCTGCAGCCTGCCAGAGTAGTTCTCTTCCCCACATTGAGGGGAGACAAACTCCTCTGGTGGCTCCAGAAATAAAGTTCAAATCTTTGGGATCAGAGCTTCATTTCACCAGTCCACTGCAGGTGTTCCCTTCTGTGCATGGAGTTGAGGGGAAATCCTGCAGTGGGCTACAGAAAAGAAGCTTGGATCCTGAAGATTGGAGCTTCATTTCTGTACCCAGCCATAGACGGTCCCTTGTGGGGAAGTTCCTTATGTGGTTGCATTTCTTATTAATCACATTTTTTAACTTATCTGTGCTTGATATTATCCAGTTGTAAAATGCTCAAATACTTGTAGGCTTCATCTTAATAGTTTGGCCATTTGGCATTTCAATTCTATTACTGTTCATGATTTTACCCCAATTTATTGCTAGTGTAGCACATTTCTCTAGCCCAAATTCCATTGCTATACCTAAAAATCCTTATATTTGTCAGTGACTGGATTTCGGATTTTCCATAAAGCTTCATATTATCCGATATATAGCCAATGTGAGATTCTGTTAGCATTTTTTGCTGTTTGGTAGCCAAGATTTGTTTTCTTTAAAAACATTGAAAGCAGGAACATAGTAATGACAAATAATAAGGGTGATAATAAGTAACCCTGAAAGATGCCGTTCCTAATGTTGAGAATCCCACTTTTTTCATTTCCAATCCCCAATTAGTCTTCCATTGCTTCATTATTTTTTCTATAAGCATTCCAATGTTTTTACTGATACTAATTGTTTCCAAATATTTGATGGTCCATCTATGTGGTAATGAATCAAATGCCTTTTTATAAGCAAACCAGACCATTGGGTTTAACAAAAAAAAACGGAAAACGTTAAGAAGTTTTGGTAAAATAGTTAGTCTTTCATATAGACATACTGAAACAAAAAACATATTGACTAATGGGGTAGTGGTGCAACAAAGGATTCGTGAAACTACATTTTTAACTTTTTAATTATTTTGAACAGATTTTTTCTTTTCTTTCACTAGGAAACAAGGTGACGAAAAGGAAATATTTCCTTCTGTTCCACTGGAAGGATGTTATGTTATTTTTTTCCTAAATAATCTAATAAATAATCTAAACTGTAGTAAATAAAAGCAGTACTGTAGTAATATTACTTGCTATTATGCCTTTGAGTAAAGTAAACATTGTAGGCTAGTATGTTATTGGCCTAGAGTTTCCTGGTGTTTTCCCTTTCATTGGGTCTTAAGTTATTATGGTTATTATTATTATTGCACAGTCAGCCAGGTATTCAGACTGGATTTGGCATTTTCAACCACCTACTGAGTCCTTCCTAAGGACCTGGGATAAGCAGATGTTGCTGTTTGATGGTGTTAAGGGTATTGTTGCAGATTGTACAGCAAGCTGCCTTTTGTGATTGACTAATGTTGATTTTGTCAATGGTGATAGTGTTCAAGTGATGTTCCAGTTGTTTAGGGACTGTACCCAAGGCATTTTTTGGCACTATCTTTGCTTTCTTTTGCCACAGTTGTTCTATCTGCAGGTCTTGATATTTTGTGATTTTTCCCCCCAGTGTTTTTTCTTCTCTTCTGCTGTCTTCAGGTATGCCATGTCCACTATCCAGACTTTTTTGTCTTTGTTATCAACAATTGTTAAGTCTGGAGTATATGGGATAGGTGCTTATCTGTTAAATTCAAAAGTCCCAGACCATTTTAGCTTCTTCATTTTCTATTTCTTTTTATATTTTATGGTGGTATTATTATTATTATTATTATTATTATTATTATTATTATTATTATTATTATTTAGTAGTATTAGTATTATCATCTTTACATGGAGAATAATTTCTATATGGCTGTCTGGATTCCTTTGTAATTATAAGCAACTATTATTTCAGGTTGGAGAAATTTTGGTTCTGTGGTACAACATAATTCTTATTTTTATGAAAAAGATATAACCATTATATTTCACCACCTGCATGTTTTTAATGAGTTACATTCATTATGCTGTTACCTGTGTAACTTTAAAAAGAGTTGTACTGTATGACTTTGGCTCATGAAGCATTTTGCCTCTTCTGCGGGCCTTCTTGTTTCTTCCCTTTGTGTTGCATTTTGTAACTTCTTGTCTAATCAAGAATTTTGAAGATCGCTATTATTTGCACACCGTTCTGAACTATTTTGATTATATAAATACTACCCAACTATGTAGTCTAGACAGCCAGTTTTATAAAAATGACTTAGCTGATTTCTCTCTGCTTTCCTCTAGAGCTACAGTGCCGTGGCTTGGCATATTATTGTTTCAATGCTGTGATCTCCTTCTAATATAATTTGCCTGGGGTGAACTGAGCATCTGCTGTTCTAGGGTGAAAATGTATATTTTATTTGTAGAATGTGACTGAAGCCACAATGCTCCAATTTAGTGCCAGGTCATACATTTGCCTGTTTGTGAATTTATTCACGTTCGGTGTAAGAGGCGAGTGCCCTCATGCGGCCTACCAGTTATATTGCAAAATGGATAATTGGAAATGGGGTTTTTGACACAGGCTATAGTTTTTTCCCCAAAGCAGTTGTTCTAAGACCTTCCTGATATTTGTTTGGCAGCAGATTGCCTTAGTTTATATGATAATAGTCTTTGAAATGCCAAGGGAGAATATAAAGCTTGCTTATTTGAAAAGAATGAAAATCCATATTAAACTAAGAATGTAGTTGATTAACAGCCCATATAGATAATTCCCACAATCTAAGACTATAACCTAGACTAGGCGTGACTTGGATGCTATCTTCTT